TAAATTATTTTTATTTTTTATAATTGAAATATTATATCCTTAAATTATTTTTATTTTTTATAATTGAAATATTATATCCTTAAATTATTTTTATTTTTTATAATTGAAATATTATATCCTTAAATTATTTTTATTTTTTATAATTGAAATATTATATCCTTAAATTATTTTTATTTTTTATAATTGAAATATTATATTCTTATAACCGAAATTCAAGTCAAATTATATCTTTAATTATGTCCCTATCAAATAATTTAGAGACCTATCTTTAGTCCCGATATCTGTTTTCCTAATTCTGGGATCTAGAGTTAGATCAAAAACTACCTTTGCGACCACGATTGCTATGATAATAATTGTTATATTATAAGGTTTTCAAATTATTGATTCTGTTATTATTATTAAATCTCTTGTGGTTATCTGTGACATTGATGAGAAATTTATTTGTTTCATTTTTCTAATTAATGATATTCTTAAGATTGTCTCCAAAAATCTCTTCCTTTTCGATTGAAGAAACATATTGTAGTAAAATGATTTTAAGTGATTACTGTCTTCACAATTTATTAACATATAATAGGATATTCAAGAGAAGTATTCTGGTATTCTTAAAAGCTATTTTAATATATTGCCAAGTTTCAAACTTTTTGCTTATCTCATTTGGCTTAGAATTATATATAGCTTTAAACCTATTGTCCAAAGAGCGTAACACTGATGATGAATGGTATGCCAAGCTAGAGAGTAATTTATCTGTTTCTCGAACATATAAGGGTAAGAGCTTCCATATACGTTTGTCCATAGAGAGTACTTCATATTTAATATGTACATTCTGAAGTTGTACTTTAAATATTGCTGCTTATTCCTTTTTTGATAAACTATTGCCCTTGTATATCTTTGTGACAAAGTTAAGCATCTCACCTATAAGGATCCATGCTTTACTATTAAATACTTTGTTTTATTCATTGTCAAAAATATCAGAGTACTTATCCCCTGACAATAAGATGTCTTGTGGAGGCATGTTATTATTAACTGATATAATAAAAAAAGTAACATAAACGTTCCGATAAAGATATTTTAATATGAATGGCTACCAAAATAAAATGGTCTAAAATAATGTAAACAAGTATATGTTTAGTTAAATAGTAATGATTATATAGTTTTTACGTGATATAAAGTTTCGTATCTCTAAAATTGGTGGCTGCTAATAATAAAATAGCTGTATTACAATTAATATTCTATATCGGAGTGAGTGAAGTATATTTATTTATTTAATTTAAATTATATATAAATATTAATTTAAAAAAATTATTTTAATTATTTTTATAATTTTTAGAATTTTCATTATTTTGATATTAAAATAACAAATTTTTAAGATTTTTAGAAATTTTAAAAATTTTAAAAATCTCCAAAATCCAGTATTATTACATTATATAATTAGTAACAATTTTGACTTTTACTTTATATTATTTGATATTACTAGTGATTATTAAAGATTTTTTTTTATTAAAAAATATTTAATAAAATATATAAAATTTCAAAAGCTATGAAATATATTACTAATAATAGATATAATTATATTTAATATAAATATTTTAATAGATTTTGATATATTTATAAAATATAAAATTTTTTGATTATAATTAATATAAATACTTAGCAATATGTATTTAATTCAATACATATAAAATATAATATATATTAATTTTTATCTAAATCGATAATAATTAGTAAGAGAAATTATAATCAATATATAGTATATTTAAACTGATAAAATTAATAAATACAGTATTGTCTTATTTATTTTGCAAAGTAGATAATAATGCCCATTATATTTTTGATTATTTCTATATTTCTTTACTATATACCAATTACTGTATATTATTATACTTTTTATAATTGATATATTATTTATATATGTTATTAAAAAATTTATAGATTCTTGATATACAATAATTGATACAATTATTTGGCACAATTAATTAAGTCATTATTAAAACATAAAATAATTGTGAATTTTGAGTTGAGTCGACAATATGTCACAGATATAATGCACTTGATATATTTGATATCCTTTCTTTAAATTTTTAATAGTCACCTTTTGCTTCTGACAATATCTCAAAATTATTTCAATCAGGATAACAAGACCTACTGTATATCAGACAAAAAAAATTTTTTTTTTGAATTATTATTTTAATATTACTTAATAAATTATATAACTTTATATTTTTTATAATTTATAATTTAATTAGCACGAATGAATTATTATATACAGTATATATGGTAAAAATATAAATACACCATCAAATCTTATGGCGGCAGTAAAATCGATAGACGCGTCTTCGATACATGGAATTTACTCTGGACAAGTTATTTTTGATTTACAACTATGGTAAAAGAGCTTGTTGAAAATATCATAGACGCACAGGCATAAACTATTGATATGACAATTTTAAAGTAGTTAAAAGCGACAAGGAACGGAAATTGATTTATGTTTAAGCTCTTGTACTATTCATTCAAAGCTTTCGCATCTAAATAGATAACTGTTAATAAATAAATATAAAATAAATAAATCATATAACAACTTTGATAAAGTGCAAGGTCGACCGTTGATGAAATAATATTGTCTATCTGCATTCCCACGACCATATCCTTTCATGGGTTTCGATATATAACCAACGAGATGAACGGAGCAGTGATCGCTGTAAACAAAGATAATAACCATAATTTTGAAATTAGATAGTACTCTACATTTTTATTCTCTGACCTTTCAAGTTGACTGTCCGAATCTTTTGGAGCCATTTGCCTCTCTGATTTCAACTTAATAGTGAAGTCCAACGGCACGATCTGGGTTACGATTTTTGCGCCAAATAAATTGGCAGTATTTTCTCGCATAGTGTCGTTGCAGCTGGTACTAATTACTATTGTTTTGCGCTATTGATAAAGGATAATTTGACCAATGAATTTTAGAAAGTAGAAATTCGAAGCCTACAAATTTATTTATTATTTAGTTAATTTGTACGCAAAAAGAACCAAGGGCCTTCCCCTCTAAATCCAAAAGATTCGAATTTATCTAGATCCTTTAATTTCGAGAGTTTCGATGTGTAATATTTAAGAACTACACGGATCATATTAATTATTGATTTTCAATAAATGACTGATATTTAAAAAATGTAAAGTACCTACCAAGTTGCTCGTAATCAAGTTGATATATTCCTATTCCTTCGTCAATTACTTCAATTGAATGTAAACCATATTCTCTAAAACTAATTTTTATCGATTAAGGGAACGACATAAATAACGGCTAAACGGATTGAGCTAAAGGCGTTTGTGATTTCAGAACTGCAAAATGTAAGAAAAATATTCAATTTAATTGAACGGATATTCCGAATTTCAAGTTTAAATTGATGTATGTTTTTTTATATAGCTGCTTATTATGTTAACGTCAGCCTGGACAAAAGGATCATTTTTATTCATGACAAAATAAGATCATTGAATCCTTAAAGTAATATTTAACAAACATCGTTGTAATCGTTTCTTGTTTATGTACTTAATTTTTTTTATTTTATTTTGATTTGGTCGTAGAAGAGCGAGATGGAACGCGTTATGGAACCTTTCATATCTGCTTTCACTAGTCTTAATGCAGAAGGAACAAAGTTGCCTACAGAAGAAAACTTGATACATCATTTGGAATCAAAGGATGTTAAAAAAAAACACAAGAAATTTAAAGAAATTAAAACGCGAGATGACTACAATACCGATTTTCTTGAAAGCGGGGAACCAATAAATTAATACTGAAGGCAGCACAGTCCTAACCAATGATAATGATAAAAGGACTTTATGAAGAATTGAAAAAAAAGTAGCATCCCGGGATGATAGTACCAACGAATTATCTAGGAACAATTCTTTAAGAAATTGTCGGCTTACTGAGGTGTTTGATAAAGATAATAAGACACTTGAATCAACATCAGGTCATCAGATTCATACCAAAAGCGAAAAATTTCTCTTGAAATTGCCAAAGTGCATGGAAATTCAAATTCCATGCAAATCGCCGACGAGGATAATGATGGCATCGACTCATCACAAGATTTTGAAACAAACTAAAATTTCGAGGAATTTCTATAAGATCCAGTCAGTGTGCATAATAATGACAACGATTGAACGTTATCAAAACGTGTCGATGATATTAATGATACTTTATTAAAAAATAAAAATTTAGGCAAATTCGAACTTACTGGAGACTTATCACGTGACAAAAGAAAGTCGGATTAGAGGGCGATACAAAATGTTTAATTCAAATTATATTGAGCTTATCTTTGATATTATGAGATATTAATCAGTTTAATTTAAAAGCAGTTCAACAATTTATACGAAAGGAGACAAAACATAAAGATTCAATTACGAACAGATAATAAGATTGCTGAAAATGAATTAAATAAGATTTTGACGAAGAAGACTTTTTGGTACATAATAAACGAGTTTTGCTCATTTAAAATAATTAATTTTGATTAATTTTATAATAGTATAAAATTCTTGTAAATATTTTTTTACACATTATTTAGAAAAATAAAATTTATTATATTAATGGTTAATCAGAGGGATTAAATAAATTTATTGGATAATAGATAGCGAAAATTAAATAGAACTTTATGTAATATTTGAAGTAATTATCTTTCAATAAAGTTTCTTTCGAAGGTTGAACCAGTGTAAAAAAAAATTAAAAAAAAATTTTAAGAATAAAACAATATATTATATAATTTAGTTGAATCAGGAAATACGGAAAAATGATATCATTTAATTTTCACGATATTTAATAAGCAATTTCGTCCGAATTAAGTAATCGCGTGCTTTTTAGAATTTATGCATTACGTAAATAAATTAAATAAACGTGATTATGTTATATATTATTATTACTGGTTCAAAAAAAAAAAAAAAAAAAAAACGATGTTCAAAGAACTTCGACTTTTTTTTTTCCGTAATTCTATGTTACACGATGGTTTATAGCAAAGATGCGCAAACAGCCTTGAAACTAAAATAGGTTTCCTATGGCACAAATAAATAGAAAGGAAAAATAAATATTAAAGAAAAAAGTAATTTAAACGAACTATATAATGTGAAGAAAGAAAAAAAGAAAAACATAAGAATTGAAAAAAATTCTATTTTTTTTTTCTATTTTTCTTTCATTCACGCGAAAAAATCTTTTTTTAAAAAGATTTTCCGGTATTTACTGGAAAAAAAAATGAGGTATTTACCTAACTACTACTACGTCTTTATTTGTCTAAGCAAAATGTTTTCGAATTTTTTGCTTAATAAAAGTAAGGCGAAATTAAACGAAATATTATTATTAGTTTTTGTCTAATAATAAATAATTATTTTGTGTGTATTACCTATCCGACGGATATTCTTTTATTTAAAGAATTGTGAAGAACTTGAGGAATTTCGAAAAAAAAAAAAATTTTTTTTTTTTTTTGAAAATCTATCAAGAATTCACATTAAGGTAATTCGGGCTTCTAAAGATTCTGCCTATTTAATGCGATGTAGAATTATTTGGTAGTCAGTTTTACCAGGAAAATTTGAAGGCTCGGCAATAGGAACCGGTATTTTAGTTCATGCATTATTGTATATTCCTTTTTGGGATGGTAATATTTGTGTGGAACTAACCGGATAAGGATAAGCGTTAAACATTAATATGTGATACGATTATCCTTTTTTATATAAAAGGACCGGCGAGCGATCCTTCTGGGGTCGTTTTGTCGTGTAACCTTAAAGAAAAGCTACCTGGTTGATCCTGCCAGTAGTCATATGCTTGTCTCAAAGATTAAGCCA